ATGTTGAAAGTGGTGTTTTGAAGTCCTCTACCATCATTGTATTGTCCATTTCTCCCTTCAGATCTGTTAGTGTTTGCTTAATATATTTAGGTACTCCAGTGTTGGGTGCATATATATCTAAGATGGTTATATATTCTTGATGAATTTACCCCTATATCCTTATACAATGACTTTCTTTGTACCTTATTACAGTTTTTGGCTAAAAGTTTCTCTCTGATATAAGTATAACTAGCAACTCTGCTTTCTTTTGTTTTCTGCTTGCACAGAATATCTTCTATGATCCCTTCACACTGAGCCTATTTATATCCTTATGGCTCTGTGAGTCTCTTTAAGGCAACATATAATAGGGTCTTTAAAAAAAAAATTCACCTGACCATTCTATGTATTTTATTTTATTTATTTTAAAAAAAGTTTATTGATTTCAGAAAGGAAGGGAGAGGGAGAGAGATGGAAACATCAGTGGTGAGAGAATCATCAATTGGCTGCCTCCTGCACAACCCCTACTGGTGTTGTGCAACCTTGCATGCAGTCTGCAACCTTGGCATGTGCTCTGACCCAGAATCAAACCAGCAACCTCTTGGTGCATGGGTCAATGCTCAACCTTTGAGTCACACTGGCTGAGCCACTCTATCTCTTTTAATTGGATGTAATCCATTTATATTTAGAGTGTTTGTTTTTAATTCTCACTTGAGGATTTTTTTTTCATTTATTTTTTAGAGAGAGTGGGAGGAAGGGGGAGAGAATGTCATAATTTAATATGGTTTCTCTTTGTGTTATCCCCTAGATGACACAGGCTTTCTTCACTCCCTTTTTCATTATCTTTTTTTATTCTCTTCTGATTGGATAATATCAAAGTTCTTGTCTAACTCATAGATTCTTTTTTCTGCTTGTTCCATTGTCTGTTGATGGAATGCTCTCTATTGCATTTTGTCTTTTATTCGTTGAGTTCTTTAGCTCTGGAATTTGTCTTAGTCTTTTTTAGTTGTATTTCTTAATTAAGCTGTTTGTTTTGAAGATGTATTGCTCTGATTTTGTTGAATTGCCTTGTAGCACACTGGGTTCTCCTAAAACATCTATTTTGAACTTTTTATCGGGAACATTTCCGATCTTTATGTTTTGGAGATTGGTTCCTGGAAGAATGTGATCCTTGATGGCATCATGTTTCTTTGATTTAAAGTGGCACCTCCTCTCATCTTGACTAGTTGCTGTCAGGAGAGAAGAAACTTCCATCAGCTCTGCCAGGGATTCTGAGGCTTCCTCAGACCTCTATGGGCACATCTGCTCCATGCCTCTTGCTCCCTCTTGTGGCACAATTCTTAAACTAGTATGCCTTCTCTCAATCTAGGTTGAGTGTGGACAGTGTATCTTGATTGGACTTAGTTTATTCCTCTTTTTGTAGTTCCTTAAGACAGGTTGTTTATTTGAAGTCTTTCTATTGTCTTAATATATGTTTATCACTAAACTAATTAAAACTCCCTCTTAGAACCGTTTCCTGACGTTCATGATTCAGTGTTCTGGATGGGCTAAGAGAGAAATGAGCTCCTTTTGCAGTGTTCCACACAGCTGGGGAAGCTGGGTGCTCACTCACACGCTCTCACTTTTCCTCATTGGAGAAATCACAGGCTCAGAAGATCTCTAGGCCCTCGGCCGTGCCATTTGGCAGATGGGTGATATGGGTAAAGTCAAACTGTTCATCTTACCTTCTCCAGTGTGTGTAAACTTACAGTTTGCTTCAGTATTGTCCTGGAAGTTCTCTGCTGGAAACATGGACTTCCACAATGGCTCTTTCATCTGGGAATGATTGTCTAAGATAGTGTTTTGCAAGGGCTCCTGGATTATGGACAACAGGCACTGGAGCTGGTTTATGGACCACTGCAGGACCAAAATCTGCATACCTATTACCAGATGCATGGGTGGGCGAGACTCCTCCTGGGTCCTTGGCACCTGGTGTTAGATTCCATGGCTTTCACAGAGGTATTGTGTCTGAGAATGGTGCCAACTTGTTGGGAGTGGGATATGACCGAGGGGTAGCTTATTCTCTCATAATACTGATGTCACTCTGCCCCCAGTGTGTATAAGTGCCCTTTCTGTGCTGTATTGTCAGTATCATTATTTGTGAGATTCTTTGCATTTCCCACTTTTGACTCTCTAGGATCTAGCACAGTATTTGGCACATAAGAACTCAAGTATTTATTGAATAAATAAATGATCTAGGCCTTGGGGAAAAAAAGGATTTTAAGTGGGAAAATATTCATTAAAATAGGAGAAACCACAGAAAGATAATAAAGTAGAAAAAAAAAAAAGTAAAAATAGCCTTGGTAGGTCTGTGTGCAATTAATGAAAAAAAAAGATTGGGTGGGGAAGGCAGATCTACTGGGTGTGAAAACTTGATTTGATAGCCTCTACTTCCTCAGAGTAAGTTTTTAACCAGGAAAGTGATGTGAGGAAAGCATTTGTTTAGGGATATTTGTTCAGCAAAGAATTTGAATCGAAATAATCTGTCATGCTAGAAATCCTCAGAGTCATTCTTCGCTGAACTGGCCAATGAAACTCTACTGATTAAAACTAGAAAGGATTTTGGAGTGTGAACCAGTGTCTTAGTTCGGAATTTCAGCCTCTCTTCCCTCTGTATTATAGTGGCAGCCTCCTAACTCATCTTCCTAACAGTCTCCTCCGCCCCCTCACTCTTTGTGCTCCTACCAAAGATTTTCTAAAAACAAGTTTAGTCTGCCTAAAAAGTTACTGGTCTATATTTTGCTAACTCCTTGGCATATTATACAAGGCCTTTCATGACCTAATGCCACCCAACCTGTTTGGATTTATACACACACACACATATATATATCTATGTCCTTATATATATGACTTGTATATATTGTTTCCTTTTTCGGGAAAGCACCTCCACCCTTCCCCATTTGAGAAAACCACAAACCAGTTCAAATGTTACCTACTCTTATGAAGCCATCCTCTACTTTCCTAGGCAGGTTTAAGCAGATGAATCAGATTTCAGTCATTCTTGTATTGTTAGAACTTATTACAGTATCTGGTATGGTGCTGGCTTCTACTAGGAACTGAGTTTTTAAAATTTATGGCAAAAAAATGAATATTGTTTTATTTTAGAAAAAATATAAAAACAATACAGATCTATATAAAGTAAAAGAGGATACCATCTCTCACTCCTGAAATACTCAGGCATAATCACCATTAAACCTGATTTTGTGTGTATTGCCCAATTTTTATGCAAGCACACCCATGCATATGTGAGTGTAATTTTTAAAGGCTCAAGCCTAAGTGTTTGAAAGAATGAATGAATAAGGGAACTTAAGTTGTTATTTAAACAATCCACTCATTAAAGTCAAGAGTCTTTATGGGAATAGAAAAGAAATAATATCATGTGAGCAAGTGTTGGAAAAACAAAACTGCAACTTCATGACTGATTTCTCTATGTTATGCTTACATAGAGTCAAATATAATTTCAAAGCTACAAACTGGATTCATAGGTATAAATTTTTAATAAGATACAACAAAGAAGTTACTCCTTCCTATATATCTCTCTGAATATGTTTTCATATTTCTACAATAGAAATAATTTCTCCTCATAGGATGTGTAAAAGGATTAGATTAAATGTTTGGCATGCAATTGAGCAATAAAATATAGTTCATTATTTATATCGATCAGGTGTTTTACAGTAATATGAGGGCAAACACTGTAGGTTATACTGTTTATTAATAGCATTGTTCCATCAATATAATTCTGGATTTATCCATTCTTTACAGGAATACCCACAACATGAATTTGGGTTTTATAAATTTGCATAAAATTATAGCTATCCTTTTTGCTTGTCCTACCTCCTGCTGACTCAGAATCAGCTGTAAAACAGAGAGCTATATTTATTTTACATAATGCTGCTACAGCAATATCTAAAAATAACTGACATGCTCTTAATAATTAAGGCTGCAGACTTTGTCCTAATTGAGAAATAACTCAAACTAATATGAATATCTGGGAACTATTAACATGTGATAGCTGTAATTTTTCTCTCCCATCCTTTTGTATATGAATTTTATTTCTATTTCGTCAGCTATTTTGTATGCTGATTTTAAAGGCAAACTCCAATGAAGTGATAACAGACCTTAAGTGAAGGGGGGAAAAAATCATACATTTTATTTATTTTTAAAATATATTTTATTGATTTTTTACAGAGCGGGAGATAGCTAGAAACATCGATGAGAAACACCGACCAGCTGCCTCCTGCACACCCCCTACCGGGGATGTGCCCGCAACCAAGGTACATGCCCCTGACCGGAATCGAACCTGGGACCTTTCAGTCCGCAGACCGACGCTCTACCACTGAGCCAAGCCGGTTTCGACAAAGAGGCCATTATATAATAAATCCCAACTTCTTTTTTTCTCACCTGAGGATATATTTTTCCCTGACTCTAGAGTAAGGGAGGACCTGAGCGGCTCTCACCAGCCTGACCTCAGGGCAGCGCGGGCGCCGGGCCGGACCGGGCGGGCGGAGCCGTCTGTTACGTCCCCGCCGCGGCAGGCGCCGGCGGACGCCCGCGCTGCCCAGTCCGGTGAGGCCGCCGCCGCACCGCCACCACCTCCAGGCCCCGCTTGCGGAGCCCACAGCGGAGGCGGGGGCCGGGGCCGAGGCGGCTCAGCGGCGCCCCTTGGAGGAGGCGAGGCCCCCCGCAGGCGCGCCGGGCTGCGGCTTCCCCGCTCCACCTCCCCCAGCGCCGCCGCCTCCTCCTCTGTAGTCCCGCCCCGCCTCCCCGGCGGAAGTCACGACGGCGCCTGCGCGCTCCTGCCTCACCCCGTCCCCTACCTACCAACCGGAAGTGAACACACTTCCCATGGTGCCTCGCGAGCTGGGGTTTTGGTTCGGAAGCTTGGAAGGTTGAAGGCGGGTTTTGGTGGCCTTTGTGGGGGTCGCGCTGCCGCGCCGGGGCGCTCTTTGCGGGATCGGGGTCCGGCCGCCGCCTCGCGGGGTGCGATGCCGCTGCTTCGGGGCGTGTGGGGATTGCTCAGCGCCCTGGGCAAGTCCGGCGCCGAGCTCTGCGCGGACTGTGGGAGTCGGCTGCGCGCACCCTTCAGGTAGGACCCGGGCGGCCAGGGCGCCGGACGCCCTGGGGCCGGGATGGAGCCGGTGTCCCCCACTTTCTGGCCCTCCCAGGAGGTCAGGGAGCCTCAGACCCTGTGGTTCAAGTCCTCGACCTTGCCAAGGGGAGGGTGCCTTTGCAGGCCTCCTTCCTCCAGGAGTACCCCGCGCCATGCTCTCCCCCCCCCCCCCCCCCCCCGCCTTCCTCCCCTCCGTGCACCTGGCTCCCTGGCCGGTCCCTGTGAAGTCAGGCCGACAGTCTCCCGCCTTCTTCTGGGCATTGAGGAGGCGGGGCCCAGGAGCCCAAGTCCCTGTGTTCTGCATTCTCTGTCTGTTTTGGGAGGGGAGGGATTCAGTTTTGCAGGCTCTTCCCTCGGGTTATGTCAAGATTGTCAGTGACACTAGCTCCCCTCCCCCCACCCCCCCCCGAAGGTGTCAGATGCATAGTATCTTGATCATCTCTTATTTGGTACCTGTGTATATAGGAGTGAATGTTATTGGCGCTTCAGCCCTTGACATTGGTTCTTTTTGTTTTTGTTTATGCGTAGCTTCGTGTATATACCCAGATGGTTTTCATCTACTTTGAGTAGTTATCCAAAGAAGCCTATGACTTCTTACGTTCGATTTTCTAAAGAACAGCTACCCATATATAAAGCTAAGAACCCAGGTAAGGATTGGGGGGGCTTGTGCTCTTCTCTGATGTAATAAAGCGCCCACTTAAGCAGTTAAGCCGAGCATTTGATACACGCTACCCACCATCCACTGACTGCAGGAACATAACCTTCTATTTGAGGGTCTGTGAAAAAGCAGGTCAAAACTTATTTTTCACCAAGTAGAAATCTTTTTGTGTTAATTCTCACCTGAGGATATATATAAATATATACATACATACACACACACACACACACACACACACACACTGAGTGGACAAATTATTATGATCTCTGAACACATAATAATCTGGCCACTCAGTGGATATCCTATATTGAAGCATCCATCTTATATAAAAACTGCTGTTTGAAATTTTAACTCTGCTATTTGGCATCTGTAAATGCTTGCTTGCTTAAATAATAAGGAAAATAAGACTACTCCCACTTCAGAGAGGCCATTAAACCTTCTCCGGACGAAATTATCAGTGCTGGCACCAGGCCAGGCCTTTGGTTGAGGTCTCAAGGCCCCAGCACATATGAGCTCTTTAAGAACTTGCAGAGGAGGCCAGAAACACCCCATATTTGTGAGACAAAGAAGGCAAAAACATAAATAGGGAAAGTTCCTCCTTGTTGGGGCCCAGAATTTGAGAGACATTTTTCTCTGGACCCGTGTAATAAATGTAACTCCATCTCTTAAGTATTGCTTGGTTCTTATCCAGTTTTCTGTAACAATATAATAAAAGGTTAATATGCAAATTGTCCCCTCAACCAGGAGTTTGACCAGCAGGCAGGCCAGCCAACCGCCCATGGCTGGCTGGTTAGGACCCCACCTGTCCATAAATTCATGCACCGGGCCTCTAATATATATATAAAATGTGTGTGTGGATATATACTGAGTGGCCAGATTATGCGTTCAGAGATCATAATAATATGGCCACTCGTGTATGTGTGTGTGTGTTGGGGGGAGAGACAGAGAGAGAGGAAGATCAGAGACACATTGGTTGGTTGCCTCCTCCACACCCCCAACCAGGGCAGGAGCTTACATCCTAGTTCTTTGCCCTTGACCGGAATTGAATCTATGACCCTTTATACCCAGGGCCTATACTCTATCCACTGAGCCAAACCGGCTAAGGCAGAAACGTTTTAAATATAATTAAGAACTAATGAAAGATGTTTTTAAAATAGCAGCATGTAGAATACAAAGCAACTAAAGAAGAGGATATGAAAAAGCTTAATTTTGGGCCTACTTGCCATTGGTGTAGAGGACCACCATGAATCATTTTGTCTCTTGCCTAGTCCCTTCTGCCACAGGGAATTTTTAATGGAAGTTACAATAAAATAACTTCTGTGGAAGTGTTCTGTAAACTGTAAAGGCCTATTCAAATTACTGCTAATGCAAGAGCTTTTGTACTGAAAGATTTCCAGGTAGGATATTTGACAATTCCCTAGAAAGGCTATAGGGCCTTCATTTGAGGTTATAGTATAAAGATAGTAATTAAATTAATAATAGCTAATTTTTGCTTATGATTTCTAAAGCCCATTCACAAACAATACATCACAGGGCACTTCTGGAAATCAAATGAAATATAATAAAAATTCTCCAAGAATTGGTTTATGAAACATAATTAAGTGCTTACATCTTTTTAAAATGTAGGAGTTGAAATTAATAAGTGGTTTGTTAAAGCATGTATATCCTTTTTAGTTAAGATGAGGAAGGAAATGGGGACTAATGAATTTAGAAAAGTTCAGTTTGTTTGCAACTGGTATTTCTGTAATTCAAATCCAAGATGGTGGTATATGAATCAAGACTATTTTCTTCTTTATTCAGATGTTATGAACTTAATTCCTGAAAGGCTCAAAAAAAATGTTTGATTAAAATATCAAGTAAAGAACTTGAAGAAATTGATTACTGAACTGATTAAACTAGCAATCAAGTTCTGAGGACTGTTTTGGTGATATGTGATACACTCCTTGATTATTAGATAAAAACTAATAATTGTTATTCTTAACCTGAGGATATTTTTTCCATTAATTTTTAAAAAATATATATATTTTATTGATTTTTTACAGAGAGGAAGGGAGAGGGATAGAGAGCTAGAAACATCAGTGAGAGAGAAACATCAACCAGCTGCCTCCTGCACACCTCCTACTGGGGATGTGCTTGACCGGAATGGAACCTGGGACCTTTCGGTCTGCAGACCGATGCTCTATCCACTGAGCCAAACTGGTTTTGGCTCCATTAATTTTTAAAGTGGAAGGAAGGAGGAGAGACGGAGAGAAGCATCAATGTGAGAGAGACACATCAATTGTTTGCTTCCTGTAGGTGCCCGACCTAGAGTCAGGGATTGGGATTGAGCCTGCAACTGAGGTATTGTTGCCTTTGACCAGAATCGAACCCAAGACCCTTAAGTCTGTGTGCTGATGCTCTATCCACTGAGCCAAACTGGCTAAGGTTAAAGTCATGTAAATCGGTTAAAGGAAAGCTAAATCATTGTATTAGGTTGTGTGTGATACAGAGTTTCTAGTGAAACTTACTTTTAGAGCTGATGTATTATGATTTCCTGGAAGTCTTTAGAAGTTGTTCATGTGACATAAAGTTGTGACATCTTTTCTTATTCCAATTCATAGATGCGAAAAATTCAGAACTAATTAAAAAAATTGCGGAAATATGGAGGGAACTTCCTGAATCACAGAAAAAAGTAAGCATATAGGTTTTCAACATTGCTGGCCAGTTATTCTGCAGTTGTCATACCCTTTAAAAGCCCAAATGATCCAGAGATGATGTTTTTGTTGTTTGTTTTTTTAAATATCTATTATCTTCAAAGGAACTTCATACCTTCTGCTCTACATAACTGAAGATAATAGGGATACGTGGGGTGGTGATGAAGGCTTGGCATCAATGTAAAATTGAAGGCTACTTGCTAGACTCTCAAGTTGGTTAACATGTATATGATGGGAAAAACACGGATTTTGGTCCATCTAAATGTGATCCCAGAGCACATTTTCCACATGATGGTTCAGTCTGTCTTTATCTGAAGTCATGCAATTGTCTTTCCTTGGTAGCAATAGTTTATTGACTTCTTATTGTTTATATTTATTTATAGATATATGAAGATGCTTACAAGGCAGACTGGCAAGCATACAAAGAAGAGATAAACAGACTTCAAGAACAGCTTACTCCAAGTCAGAAAGTATCTTTGGAAAAAGAAATGATGCAAAAACGTTTAAAAAAGAAATCGATATTAAAAAAGAGAGTGAGTATCATTGAAACATTCTTTTTCTTTAACAAAGAACTGAAATTTAGTTAACTATATGAATATAGGGTCTTTTCTCTTACTTTGATGATATGTGTGGTGACTAAATGGTAGAATATCAGGTATACTCCATTCAGGAAAAATGGGATCATCCTCTTCTGCCACTAGAACCATTTGTCATTGAGTCTAGCTTGGAAACTCTTGTTGCTACTTTGGGCTTTATCTGATTCTAAAATATATAGTTAGGACTGGCAATCAAAGCTGTAGGAACAGCCAGATCTTGGATAGTAAAAATCTTTGTTTCTGAGTTTTGTCTTACTGATCTGAATTCGTCTAGAGATAATAGTGAATTTGATTCTATATATTGCTGAATAGACTAAATTTATTAGCACATCAGGGAAAAGTGCCTATTGTATTTAATCAAATAAGTCCCTTTAAGATGAAATACTGCTTTTTTTCTCATTGAAAACCCTTCATAGGGCCCTGGCTGGATAGCTCAGTTGGATAGAGCATTGTGATACACCAAGGTTGTGGGTTCAATTCCCGGTCAGGACATATTGACTGGCAATTGGAATAAGAAGCAGCCAATGAATGCATAAAATAAGTGGAACAACAAATTGAGATTTCTTTCTCTCAAATCAGTAAAAAAAAAACAACAACAACTCAAAAACAACCCATATGGTTCAAATTTTGTAGTTCCTAACTTGAGTATTAATCCACATAAATTCCATCGTTTGAAAATTAAACATTTTTGTATAAAACCAGTATTAGGTATGAAGTGGTTAGCTTGCTATCTAGCTCATATCGTATAGAAAATGGTCATCAGAATTACAGAATTAAAACTATTACTCTGAAAAAGTAGGTTAGAACCTTTAATGTCTGATGCCAAAATATGCATTCCTGATCCTAATGTTTAAAGTCCTCTTAAGGAGTCAGCCAATTTCAAGTCAGTAATCTAATGTTGCTGATCCAATTAGTATTGAATAAAGATTCCAATAGGGAGAAATACAGCTTCTGCCTTAGGGAGAGTGTTTGGAGGGGTGAGTACTAAAGTTTACTCTCCCTTTCCTCTTAATGCATGTAGCCAGTGCTGAGTGGAGAATACCAGAATGAGGATTAGACAGAAGGGGATTCCCTTTTAAATATTTCTTGTCTTCCTTTCTTCTGGTATTCCCATTATGTTTTTGTATACATAATGTTTTATGTTTGTTATACATTATGTTTTAGTTGTCCCACAGTCCTGAGTGTTCTGGGTTTTTTACTCCTTCATCTTTGTTCTCTTTATTTGGGTTGGGGTTGGGTATTTCCCTTCCATCAGGTCAGTTAGCTTTGATAATAGTCCAGGTCAGTGGTCATCAATCTTTTGGATCTCACGGACCATCAGTGGTCCAGACCACCAGTTGGCAATTGCTGTTCAGGAGATTAGCTCTGATTACGGTAACTAGTTACCCTTAAGGGCATGCATGTATATATGTAAAAGCCTAAGCAACTGTTATGATTGAACGACCGGTCAACCAGTCGCTATGACATGCACTGATTTTGTGCACAGGGGGCAGATGCTCAACACAGAAGCTACCCCTTGGTGGTCAGTGCACTCGCACAACCAACCTTCTTCAGCCCCTCTCCCCCCAGCTTGCCGCTCCTGCCCTCCACTCCCCCTAACCCCCCAGTAGACCCCAATTGAGGGGCCAGCTGGCCAACCTCCCAGGGTCTCTTCCCGTTGCCAGCCAGCCCTTCAATAGGCCTCGATTGCCGGCCAGACCGAGGACCCCCCCCCCCCCCCCGCATAAATTTGTGCACCAGGCCTCTAGTTGTTAATAATGCTCAAGACATTTCAAAATGGTTTGTTTTCCTCTCCTCATGCTGGAATCGTGGGTAGAGGGGCATGGGTTTTTCTAGATATATATTGTGGTAATCTGGTCAAGCTCCTGAATTTGTAAATCTCATATTATTGTGAGGACCCTTCTATGACTGGGTCCTCTGAAGTTCTTAAACTCAGAGTTGTCCACACAGAACCTGCAGCAATTTGTTAAAGTTCACGTTTCCCCACCTGGCACTGGTGCACTCAGCAGTTTCTCCGGAGTCTGTTCCTCTGCTCTGGTAAGCCTCAGCTCTGTGATCACAGCAGTTTTTTCTGTGTCCTCCTCTCATGGATTCAAGAAGAGTTGTTGATTCTCAGTCTGTTCCATTTTATATTCAGTAGGGAGGAGTGGTGACTTCCAAGCTCTACAGGTTTTTCCCCTCAGACTTTTGTTCCCACTCCCTGTTGGAATTTTCCTTCCCTTCCCTTCCCATTAAAGATTCCCAGTACCAAATACTTAGAGATCAGGTGAGAAGTGTGGGAACTAGGAAGTTGCAAGTGAATCACCTAGCAGAGAAATCCTTAGTGGTAATTCTGGAAATAACAGGGGTGATATGTTGGGAAGTGTCTGAAGTCCATAGTACTTACATGACTGAGAGGTTCAGGAAGAAGAAAGTGATGTCCTACTTTAACATATGAGTAAAAGTTGGGTTTGTTATTGACTAACCAAATTGTCATTAAAAGCCACAAAAAATTTATAAATTACTAGTACTCTATCCATATTCAGACACTGCCTCCTGCATGCATGTTTCTTGCTCTCTGTACCTCTCCCTTTCTCTCTATAAAAAAATCAATAAAATATATATATATTTTAAAAAAGAGTTAGAAACACCTATGAGAGAGAAACATCAATCAGCTGCCTCCTGTACATCCCCTACTGGATATGTGCTTGCAACCAAGGTATATGCCCTTGACTGGAATAGAACCAACCTGGGGTGTAGGGTTGCCGGGGCCTGCCTGGCAAGTTGAACTGGGCTGAGGTAGGGAGGTGGGAATTGAGAAAAGAAAGAAAGACAGAAGAGCGTGGTCGGGAGGACTACAAGTCATCAAGGAGCTGTAGCAAGTTTATTACACACAAAACACTGAATAGGAGGTCTGTCAAGAGGAGTGTATTCTTTGTTCCTCTTAATCTCTAAGGGACAGAGCAGAAGGACAAATTCTTGGTATAGCAAATCTCAGTAAATAGTTACAGACTTCTTGGCAAGCCATGAAAGGTTGCTCTCATTCTACTGATAATCGCCATCCAAACAAGTCAGGGAAAACTGTTTGGGTAGGGGGCCAGCCCTGCTAGCCCCCTCAGATGCAAGGACCTTGTCAGCTTACATCCTGCCGCCAACATAGGGTGGCTTGGGTGAGGGGCCTGTGGTGGTTTGCAGTCTGGCCATGCCCCCCAGCAACCCAAGCATAGGCTGTGGAAGCAGGTATCCACTGAGCCAAACCAGTTAGAGCTGTTTCATTTTTTAAAAAAAGATTTGTACATATGTGCTCAGTTATTCAGTTCACGGAGACCATGAAAATAATATGTAAAGGAAATGTATAGAAAATAACTCAATATTTATTGAATTTCTCAAAATAATGCTATCAAATTCTGATCTCAGGAGGGAATAATCACATACTTTATATAAGAATCAAAACATCCATTTTAAGGAACATTCTGTATAATGCAAAGTAGTGAATACAGTTTCTGTAAGTAAAATTAAGTCTCAGAGATGTTAAAACTGTATCTAACTCTTCCGTTTTCTCTCCTCAGGAGTTAACACTGCTTGGAAAACCAAAAAGACCTCGCTCAGCTTATAACATTTTTATATCTGAATGCTTCCAGGGAGCTAAGACTGGCTCATTACAGGTAAAATAGAACTGCATTTATTTTTTAAATGTTTATTTTAGTTTTAGAAATAATTGTTAGGAAATGTTAGGGATATTTTTGCTTCTTCTATCAGTGTCTTTCTTGGTTTACTGATTCTGTTATAGTAAGGATACATGGGAGATTAGTTTTAAGGGTTCTTTCATGTCTAAAAATGTCTCTTTTTTCACATTTGCTAGTTTGGGCATAGAATTGTTTCATGTTCTCATCATTGATGTATCTATCTCTTTCTCCCTCTCCTTTCCTCTCTGAAATCAATTTAAAAATTTATATATATTCCTAATCAGTTTGGCTCAATGGATAGAGTGTTTGCCTGTGGACAGGAGAGTCCCAGGTTAAATTCTGGTCAAGGGCTTGTACCTCCATTGCAGGCTTTATTTGGACTCATGGGGGAGGCAACCAATCGATGAGTCTCTCTTACATTGATGTTTCTTTCTCTCTGTATCTCTCCCTCCCTTTCACTTTCTCAAAAACTTAATGGAAAAATATCCTCAGGTGAGAATTAATAAAAAATATATATATATAAAACTTCAAAAAAATTTTTAAAGAGATTATGAAAAAAATGGAAAGCATTAAAGCAATTCCTTTCAGTTCTAAGAGTCAGAGCAGTTATTTAATGATTAAATGTCCTTGAATATATTAGAAGTGCTTATGAAAATAAATTAAAATGTTCAAAACATAATATTTATGTAGTCTCAGGTAATATCTGGTACCTCTGTTTTTGTTGGTTTTATCTAATAAAAGAGAAACATGCAAATTGACTGCATATTTGCTATGCCCACAAGCCAATCAGAAGCAAGTATACAAATTAACCCAACCAAGATGGCAGTAGCCATGGAGCTGGAGCAAGCAGGAGGCTTGGGTTGCCCCTGGCAATGGAGGAAGCCAAACTTCCCACCTGCCCTGGCCTGCCCTGGCCTCTGCTCAAGGCTACAAAGTTTCAATTATAAAAGATAAATAAATCCCAGATACCTGCTTCTAGCCTATGCTTGGGTTGCTGGGGGGCATGGCCAGCCTGCAAACCACCACAGGCCCCTCACCCAAGCCACCCTACACCCCAAGGGAATCCCCACTCTGATCTGGGACACCCTTCAGGGCAAACCAGCTGGCCCTCACCCATGCATCAGGCCTCTATCCTATCCAATAAAAGAGTAATATGCAGATTGACCATCACTCCAACACAGAAGATGGCTGCCCCCATGTGGACGCAAATGGCCACGACTAGATGGGCATCAAGGGAGGGCAGTTGGAAGGCACCAGGCTTGCAAGAGAGGGCAGTTGTGGGCAATCAGGCCAGCAGGGGAGGGTAATTGGGAGGGACCAGGCCTGTAGGGGAGGGCAGTTAGGTGCAATCAGGCTGGCAGGAGAGTGGTTAGGGGGTGATCAGGCTGGCAAGCAGAAGTGGTTAGTGGCAATCAGGAAGGCAGGCAGGCGAGCAATTGGAAGCCAGCAGTCCTGGATTGTGAGAGGGATATCTGACTGCCCATTTAGATATCCCTTGAGGGTTTCCAGTTGGAGAGGGTGCAGGCTGGGCTGAGGGACACCCCTCCTCTCGTGCATGAATTTCATCCACTGGGCCTCTAGTAGGAAAATAAAATTCATTCAAAGTTCTGCTCAGAAATAATGGCCCTCTCTCCTTCACAGTCCCTTCTTCTGCCCCTCATTTACCACCCACCCATCTTCTCTTTATTCTCTGCTCTCTGGGTTCTTCTCTCCATTGGTCTAAACGGGCAGTTGGACATCCCTCTCACAGTCCAGGACTGCTGGCTCCCAACTGCTTGCCTGTCTTCCTGATTGCCCCTAACTGCTTCTGCCTGCCATCCTGATCACCCCCAACCACTCCCCTGCCAGCCTGATTGATGTCTAACTGCTCCCCTGCCAGGCTGTTTGCCCCCAACTTCCCTCCTCTGCCAGCTGGTCACCCCTAACTGCCCTCCCCTACAGGGTTGATCTCCTCCAACTGCCCTCCCTTGCAGGCCTGGTGCCTCCCAACTGCCCTCCCCTGCTGTCCATCTTGTGGTGGCCATCTTGTGTCCACATGGGGACAGGATCTTTGACCACATGAGGACAGCTATTGTGTGTTGGAGTGATGGTCAATCTGCATATTACTCTTTTATTAGATAGGATAGAGGCCTGGTGCATTCATTGGTGGGGACCAAGTGGTTTGCCCTGAAGGGTGTCCCGGATCAGGGTGGAGGTTCCCTTGGGGTCTGGGGTGGCCTAGGTGAGTGGTCTGTGGTGGTTTGCAGGCTGGCCACGCCCCCTGGCGATCTAAGCAGAGGACCTGGTATCTGGAATTTATTTACTTTCTACAATTGAAACTTTGTAGCCTGGAACAGAGCCAAGCCTCCTGCTAGCTGGGTGGCTGCTGCCATTTCTGTTTGGGACTTATGTATCTTGTATAAATGAAACTTTGTAGTCTTGAGTGGAGGCCTAGACCAGCCAGGGTGTGTGGAAAGCTTTGCTTCCTCCATTGCCAGGGGCAACCCTAGCCTGCTCTCTCCAGCTCCATGGCTGCCACCATTTTCTTGGGATTAATCTTCTATAATTGAAACTTTGTATCCTTGAGTGGAGGCCTAGGCCTGCCAGGGTGTGTGGAAAGCTTGGCTTCTGTTGCCAGGGAAACGCAAGCCTCTCAACTGCTCTCTGTGGCTGCAGCCATCTTGGTTGGGGTTAATTTACATACTCGTTCTGAGTGGCTGGTAGGTGTGATTTGAGCAGAGTGATGGTTAATTTTCATATTACTCTTTTATTAGGTAGGATTGATTGAAAAGCCAGGTTAACTGGACACTTAGCATATTAGGCTTTTCATATATAGGATGAAATAAATCAGACCAGAGAAAGACAAATACCATATACTCTCACTTACATGTGGAATCTAAAAAAATAACTGATCTCATAGGTAAAGAAACAGATTGGTGATTGCCAGGCATGGGGAGTGGATGAGATGGGTAAAGGTGGTTAGAAGATACAATCTTATAGTTATAAAAAAGTCTTGGGGGTGTAATGTACAGCATGGTAAATAGAGTTAATAAATTTGATAGTTGCTCAGAGTAGATCTTAAAAGTTCTCATAAGAAAAAAAAAATTATGGTGACAACTGTTAAAGACATTTAAAAAAAAATATTTTTTTATTGTTTTTTTTTACAGAGAAGGAGAGAGATAGTTAGAAACATCAATGAGAGAGAAACATCAATCAGCTGCCTCTTGCACACCTCTTACTGGGGATGTGCCCACAACCAAGGTACATGCCCTTGACCGGAATCGAACCTGGGACCCTTCAGTCCGCAGGCCGATGCTCTATCCACTGAGCCAAACCGGTTTCGGCAAGACTTATTGTTTTGACCATTTCAGAATATATACAAATATTGAATCATGTTGTACACCTGAAACTAATACAGTGCTATATGAAAATTATATCAAGTAAAAAAATAAGTATCTTTATTCCAGTCATTTTGTATATTTTAAGTTTAATTTAGAAAGAGGATATTAAGAATTGAGAGACATTAATATCTGAGTATGATAAAATGATGTAAAAATGATGATTTTTAGTATCTGAATTTTTTTGAAATGAGTAATAAAAAACAATTTTTCTTTGATCATTGAAGTCCCTATATCTGCTATTTAAACATACATTGTTTTGCAGATAAGGCTGAAAAATATAAATGAAAGGTGGAAAAATCTCTCTGATGCTGAAAAGCAAGTAAGTATGGTTTTAGTCTCAAATATCTAGTTAGAATATCTATGAGAATGTATTAGGGCAAGGCTCGATTCATGTGAAAACGACCTTATATTACTTCTAACACAGTTAAAATATTTTAAAATAATTTCATATTCATAGAATCAATTTGGCTTTTTTATTTTGGTAGTTTTTAACTGAAATAAAATTGATATTTAAAACAATGTCACACCAAATCCAGTGTCCAGTGTATGCTATGACAGTCACACTGTGCCTCTGCTCCTTCCCACATCCCAAGCCCTAAAATTGTAACAATTTAATGAATAACAAATCTTTCTCTCTTACCTTATCTCACAAAAACATTTCTCCTCCAATCCCCCTTTACACATGTAGAAGAATAAGGTAATTTTTATGGTATATATGGAAGCATTTCAGAAATTAATGGTGAAGATTCTTCTGAAGAAATCATTTTAACAATTACACTTTTTCTCAGGTATATATTCAACTTGCTGAAGATGATAAAGCTCGTTATTACAGCGAAATCAAATCTTGGGAAGAACAAATGATTGAAGTTGGACGTGAAGATCTTCTTCGTCGCAAAGTGAAGCCCCAATCAAAAGGCAGTGAGGAATATTAAGTAGAAGACTGAGTTATGGTCATAATGGATAGACACAAGAAACCAATTAGGTCTCAGTATCTGAAACTGTTACAAAATTAAAAGGATAAAGCTAGTCAACATTTTATAATCTTTTTTTTTTTTTTTGCCCATGGACTTCTACCAGTTCAATACATTTTGTATTGGTAAATCTTTCTTTGGAAAACTCAAACATAGAAAAGTTCATCCAAAATTTATTTTGTGTTTAGAAACTACTGAGGATCAAAATAATCATGAAATGTATCAGTAACATTTTACCTTTGATAAAGGTGAGTCAGACTGTGAAGTTTTTTTTATAATACTGATGATTGTGGAAAGAGTATTCTTGTCTCCTTATATTATGGAGGCAGGGGTTTCCTATTCAGAAGTGTCCCAGATTGTAGAGCCAGAGTGTTCTATGATTAATTGTGCATTTTTTAAAGACCACCCAGAGCTCATTTAGGTAAGTTCCAATCCTAGGTGTACTTTATTTTCAGAGCTGATGGTTCTACAGGCAAGGGCTTGCTCGTTTCAGTTGTAATTTTTTTGTACAAAAGATGGAGAGATTTGTGAACCTTTTCTTCATTGTCTTTTCCTAAAGTAAAAAAAGCTAAGAAGTATATACTAAATCAATGCATATTGTTTTATATGTCATAGAACACAATTTTTGTTTCCTAATTATATGTTTAAGGTAAAACATTTGTTTTACAGCTTCTGTCTATTTTTTTTTTTTTCTTTTTAAGTAGGGATTTATATTCTGAATTATTTTTTCTCTCTCATGTGAGTATATTTTTCAGAGAGAACTTATTTGGTAAGTTTTAAAATGAGAGATCCAGAAACAAGTTTTTAAACACTCTAGGCTCACAACCTGTAATTTTAAAACATTTTATATAAGAAAAAAGACTATATAAGGGACAGCCAACTCTGCCCATATCCAACCACAGCCTGCTTTTTCATGGCCTATGAGCTAGAATTGTGTTTACCATTAATTAAAAAAAAATAAAAGGATATTTCAAGGCACATGAAAATATGTTCATTGTCCATAAATATTATGAAATACAGCTATACTCATTAATTTATCTATTGTTTATAGCTGCTTTTGTGCAACAGTGACAGTTGAGTAGTTGCTTCAGAAACTCGTTTGCAAAGCCTAAAATTTTTACTGTCTGACTCTTTACAGAACAAGTTTGCCAACCCATGATTTACAGTATAGTGTAGTATGATAAGCATACTAATATGTTGGGATAAGCTTTTTAACTGATTGAGAGGTTTCTGTTTTAGAATCTTTGTCACCATTGTCTTAAGAGGAAAAAGGTCAATCCACAGAAAAAGCTAAACAAACTGTTGCTCCACAGTGTTAGTAAGAAAAATAATCTTGTTTCAAATTATTTTGTATAATAATTTCACTTAGTATAAATGAGATTCTCTTCAATTACTTCCTATGACTTAGTAAGTGAATCTTACGAGTTTCCAATTAGCACATATCACAAAAACCTTTCCATCTTTTACCACTTGTTTGTCATCTTGAGAGCTAGCAAAAGTTTTTAAAATTCACACTACCTTTTTGAGCAAAATAATTCATCTTTCATCATCAGTTCATAAGAATAGGATAACCCAAAATTCATATGTATCTTACATTATGCAAACTATTTAGGTATTCTGGATTCCAAATCTACAGAAAAATTTTGAGGATTTTTGTTGTTTGTGGATAGAAAATAAATAAAAAATCATGACTTGTTCTATACTGAACTTGACAAAAGTATGTACTAAAGAGGAAAAATATAGCAAGGGGAAGCTTAAGATTTAAATATTTGAAGTTAGGTGTTTTCAAACAATTTCCCCCTGTGGTTATGAATACAGGACATAGTTGGCTCTGAGTTCAGTAGATGCCGTGTGGGGAGGAGTTGGGGAAGAAGAGGTATGCTAGTGTCTGTCGCAGCCTGCCTCAATGGGGTTTCCGGGAGAGAGTGAGCCCTAATTCCCCATGGCACATAGAAAGGTACTGATGATGTACCATACTTGGGAGAATGGGGAAAATCATTGAAGTCATACACTGTGTGCTGTGCTTCAGATGAGCCCAAGGAGCACGTGGGAGTCAGTCGTTTGTGATGAAGGACGGGTGAGGTTAGAAATGAATTATGTAAACATCTTTGCAATTACTTTGTTCTGTGTTCTTTTAGCACCCAACTACATCAATATTTTATACAGAACACATTCAAGTCATATCTTCCCAGTTATATTAGGAAGTTTAGTGACGAGTAAGTTCAAGTATTTACAATTTAATAAAGGGGGAAAAGTGTGAAAAGAGCTAGAGCAAAACAATAACATCAAATAATATTTAGTTTCCTTTGTTTCTAAAAGAATGTCATTTTTAATGCTTTAAATATTAAGGTAATCTGAGTCCACATCTTGGTTAGTAAGTTTCAGTACATATTGAAGACTGGAATGCATATACCAAATGCCTTCCAGTTTAACAGTATGTCCAAATTTTCTATTATGAAGAATAAGAAATTATGTTAAATTACCAGGGGCAACTCATCTAAAGCCTTACTTTTTAGACTTAAGTTGACCTAACAGCGTAATTGCTGTAGGAGCTAAAAGAAGAGTGTGCTAGGGGGAAAGATGCTTAAGAATTGAAAGTGGTGGTTATGTTTTTCTGAGCATATGCTGTTCAGAATCATAAAGAGATTTCTGTACTTTTGTTCGTTAGAGAACTAGCATTAGGTTTGAAATAATTTGATGGTAGTAGAGGATTGTGTAGTAATTCTACTTTCTGATGTTTAAAGGATATTGTGTGAAGATTCAGCCTACTGTAATCATGTAAATTTTGCTATTGCTATTGCTTTTGGCTAAAACTCCTTTCTTGAAAATGTCATTTTTAAAAAACAAGGTGTATTTTTTATAGTTGCTACGAATGTGTGTATTTAGATCTGAATTAAAAGATAAGTTGATTCAAAGTAACTAGCAAATTTCATTGATTTTTCCCCCCTGATATTTACCTTACATAAAATTAATCACCACCAGGAAGTTTTTATATATTAAGTGATAGTACCCATTGATTTTCATAATTTTATTAATATTAACTGCAAGAATATTCCCTCCCTTTCTTTCCTCTCTCACAGCCACTCTTCCTTCTCTTCATAGCACCAAGCTCTTAGACAAATTTGAAAATATTAGAAGCACAGACTGTGTTGAAGTTTTAAAGCAGTAATATTCTTTTTCTTTTTATTTTTTTAAAATATATTTTATTGATTTTCCACAGAGAGGAAGGGAAAGGGATAGAGAGCTAGAAACGTCAATGAGAGAGAAACATTGTTGATGAGAGAGAAACATCGAAGAGCTGTCTCCTGCACACCCCCCACCAGGGATGTACCCGCAACCAATTTACATGCCCTTGACCAGAATCAAACCTGGGACCTTTCAGTCTGCAGACCGATGCTTTATCCACTGAGCCAAATTGGTTGTGGCAGTAACATTCTTTTTAAAATTGAACTTTTGGAAAGGAAAGACTAAGAAAATAAACATTTATTATTTCCTTGAATTTGTAGGACTTTCCAGACAGAAAGTAAAACTGTACAAAGCTGTTATCATTAGTTTTTACATTGTTCACAAATAAAGTACTTTTGGTAATTGATTAAGTTATTAATTATAATGGAAAATACGTAAAACACAAAACATTTTCTAGTAGAGTCGACCCTCCATATCTGTGGGAGATTGGTTTCAGGACCTCTCACCATGATATCAAAACCTATAGATACTAAGTCCCTTATATAAAATAGTTATACTCAGTAGTTGTTATAATGTATTGTTTAGTGAATAATGATAAAAATATGTACATATTATACACACAACCATCTAGGTCTATAACTGCATAGTACAACATCTTCAACAAGAACTTTTCAAATATTTTTATTGCAGTTAACCCATGCATGCATAATCCACAGATAACAGAGGGCCTACTACATTAAAAAGTATGAATGTATATATTTTACTGGCTAAGGAGCTAAATACAGTTAGCCCTAAATAAGAATTTTAAATAAACATTTAAAAATCACCCTAATATTTAAACCATCCTTACATAATGGTATCTGGTTTATATATGTGGAGTGTAAGAGAATATTTGAATTTACTCTTGTTTTGCCTGTATTAATTTAAAGTTTGTCCAGTTTTATTCCTCCTCCCGCACTCATCATGTATAAAAGATAGAGGAAGAAGTGAATACACAATTTTGATCTTACAGTCTGTTAACTGCTGACCTTCACATTAAAAAACTTGATTTGGTTATACCCATCTTTAAGGTTGTATATTTATAAGGAATTTTGTGCATTGAATTGTAAGTAGGATTATGTGATGAGAAGAGGGTTCCAAGTTACTGTTTTTATTTTTTGTTAATTCTCACATGAGGATTCTTTTCCATTGATTTTTAAAGAGCGGGGGGGAGAGAAAGAAAGAAACATCAATGTGAGAGAGAAATCAATTGGTTATCTCCCAAACATGCCCCTCCTTGGCTGGGGATCCAACCTGCACTCAGGTACATACCCTTGACTGGGAATTGAACCGTACTCTAACCACTTAGCAGCACTGGCCAGGGTTCCGAATTATTTTTATTAATTATTTAGAAATTGTTGAAGCCTTGGGACCATTCTACTCAATTAAAAATTTTTTCCCCCTTGGTCACCGGTCACAACAGATCCTCAAAACTGTGTAACTAAAGTGAACAGGAATTTTACTGGTAGATACAGATGCCCAGTATTCCCAAGCTGGAATTTATATCTTGACTATAAGACTATTTAGGTAAGGATAGTAGAGATTTGTTAAAAGTGTAGAAATTTTGTCTTAATTTTGAATAACATTGAATTTATATAAACAGTATCAAATATTATAATATTTTGACCTAAAAAATTCTGAATATTGCATGTGGGAGGCAACCGATCAATGTTTCTCTCTCCCTCTCCCTCTCTCTTTTAGAATCAAGAAAAAAAGAAACAAACAAAAAAAACCCC